CACCGGAGGGGGGGGGGCCATGTTTAAAACGCAAAGCAAAGCGGGGAGCAAAGGCTTTGAACTTTTGAAACTTCACAGAGCCACTTTGGCAACATGTTCCTGACATGTGCCTTGCAATCCGTAAGCTTCTGCAAGTATGCAATTCTTTCGCTAGGGCGTACTTATGCTCGTCTGGGCTGATTCCACCTCACCCAGCCGCATGCCCCGATCGGGTTGTTCCCAATTTTTCAAATGCGTCAGCAACCTAAGGTTGAACTCAAAGTGAGATGCAAGATGCATCAAGAAAGCGGTGCCGCGCCAGAAAGTCCTCTCCTGCGTGGGTGTCATAGCAGAGCACCGAATCCTGCAGAAACAGACGGATCAGCATGTGTATACATATCTAATGCTCTGAACTTTCCACAACCATTGTGACTGCAAGACACAGGAGTCGGCTGGTTTACAGTCACACGACTAAATCCAGGAATCTATGAATGTCATGGCATCCATCGTCGCAGCCTTGACTGTCGGCGCGCTTCATCGCCGTCGTCGCGCTTTGAGGGGTAGTCATGCAATTGCCAAAGCAAAACCCTGCGGATCTGCCAATCCTGTCGAACCCGCACGACACCGCTGTGAGCAAACTGCGAGAGCCCACAGTTGATCCCGAGACTTGAGAGAGTTTGCAACACAAAATCCTGTAGTATAGCACCCCTGGCCTCCCAGGCTTTTAGTAGCTTGGGCACCAGGCGACGTGCCTGCAGGCATCGGAAGGTGCTGGCAATGCTTCACTGATGAATCACCATGACCCCGCCCATAGCATTGAGTGGAGATCCCAAGCTGGCAGGATCTTCTGCTGAAACTCTGCCTGGCAAAAAAAAAAGAATTCAGCAAGGTACCGTCTTGCCAAATGTCCACACAGATTCGCAAAACTTTTCTGCGATTTCAAGCGGGGATGTACTGCTGGCCTCCAAGTTGACCACATCCCTGCGCAGAGTCCTCGTGATTGAGATACCATGTATTCTTGACGCAGTGCAGAGACAGTCCGTCTGCGGCATAATCCTAGCTTAGTTTACGCCTTATCAGTCTCGCTAGCGCTGATCCAAAATGCGCCAATGCCTCCAAACTGTGAAACACATAAATCATGATCAAGCGTCAGGAAGCCGTGGCCATAGTCGTCGAATCCGAAAGCCTTTGCAGAGTACAACTATCTAGGGGCTGCAGCCCCGCGGTCGTTAATTACAAAACCGCAACACAGGTGCCTGTCAGCCAAGGATGAAGCAAGTGCCCACAAGTGCCCTGTTCTTCCAACACACCGGACAACTTACATGGGATTCCAACCTGCACCAGTGGCCACCGCTCTATAGCCATTTTCAAGTCTTGTCCTCAGATTGACGTTTTCTAAACAGAACATGCTCAAACTGCGGAGCAAACAAGAAGCTTTGCATCACATTCATGATTCCGTGCAACCTCAGAGTGTGTGCACGTCAAGTGTCTGAAGCCTATTTAAGTTTGTCTATGAAGAAGTTGCTTGTGAAACCAGCTCGTGGGACAGCTTTAGTTTCACAGCTGGGGCAGTCTAGAATGTTGTCAAGGACCAGGCCTTGCTACTATGACTAAGATGGCCACAAGAGTGGAACAACAAGTGACCAAAGCCAATGTTTACCTGTAGCGCTTCCCAGGTTACCCTCGGTCGATGGAAAGTGCAATGTGGAGCCCATACCGCTTGGAGGAAGTATCATGCTGGAAGCCATAGGACTCCGCAGGTTGAAGTAGAACAGCCATCAGAAGCAGCCGACGATCAAAACGTATGGCAGCTTAAGATGAGCTTTGGTTGGGGCGGCGCGAGATTATCACATGGCAATTGCTGGATGGCAGCTGCCCCCCATTCACTATACAAATATACATATATATAGATATTGTTAGAACCTTGTTAGTGTTTGGTGACATTCCTCAAGCAAATCAAGTGGACGTTCTCTGCCACGGATGACACAAAAGGCTGATCTCGCTGCAGAGCGGTCAAAGGAAGAATGGGACGCGCCAACCTGTGCTATCCACGTCTGCCCACCACGTGCGAAAAAATGCTCATTGTTGACAGTGTAGAAGCGAGTGGTGTATGACTCAGCCAGGAACACTTCATGATGTTTTCTGAACCACAAGCCTATCCATGACCTCTGAGTCCATGTGCGCATCTGAGCATTCATGCATTGGTCTGCGCAAGCGGAATCAGTCTTCTGAAGCCGCGCCACTTGGTTCGCAACTGGCATCTTGCTTTCACATGAGCTGCTTCAACCTATGCCAACCTGGGCGAGACGCGTGATTTGGGCGCTTCAGTTTTTTGATTCGGACGATTTGTAATTCCTGCTTCCGATGATAAGTCGTTCGTAATTCGGACAAACGTATTTCGTGATTAGAACGATTTGCTGGGGTATTCGTATTTCGATGCATTTCGTGATGCGTAGTTCGTGATGCGCGCGTAGCTCATGATTTAGTGTTTGTTTGGGGTACAACTGAAGCTTTGGGAACCAAATGAGTGCAGAGGCGCGTCTATCTCTGGAGTCGTGAAGTCTCTCCAGCCTCTCTCGCGCGCGCGAAAATGGACAACTCAAGTCATGCCAGACCTGGAGTTAAAACCTTTAGTCGCCTCAACTTGGGTGTATGTGAATCTCTCAAGTTTACTTGCAGAAGAATTTCTGAGGGAGCGGTTGTCTATCTCTGCTTCACTTACGTTGAGGTGCTATCATCAGCAAGGTAAGACAGGACCTTGGTGCTCTCGAGTGCTGGCTGGGATCTGAGACCCCAGCCAACATCCTCTCTTACCTGCTGTGGCAGGTTCGGAGCAAGATCCCGAAAAGAAAAAATGGCTGCAATCAAGTGGCAAACACGCCCAAGGATCCAGAGTTCTTCACCATGTCAATGAAAGCCCCAATTTTCATTGCCTTGGCAAGAAGGCCATCCCGCATGCCTCCTGGAGAAGAACGCAGAGTGTGCTACCAAGGGCCTCACTTCATACCTCTCGGCATCAGCTTCGTCTGCTTCGGAAGGTACCTTGCAGCAAGTAACGGCATGCATCTGTTTGCAGATCCTTGCAAGCCAGCTCACAACAAATCAAGGCGCGATGAGAGTCGCCGCTTCCCATAGGGCTGTACGAACAGCCACCTTTCCATTCAAATGCACAAGCGTCTTGCACGGGAAGGGCTGCGAGGTAACCCTGTCTGACTTTAATTAGCTGCCAATCCTGTGGATGCTAGATTTGATGCTGAACACTAGCATGCAGGCCCGTGCTTGGTTTTTCCAGGCACGGTCATGCTGCCTTGTTTGGACGCCCTATCATTTGTTCGAAAGATCAGCCTTCCTCAGTGGCACATACAACCCTTTAAGATTCAAGTGAATGCAAGGGGTGTTGGAAAAGTCGGGCGCCATGAGTCGGAATA